GCCCCAAGCCTTGGAAGCCACGTGGGAGACCTGGAGGAAGCTCCTGGCTCCTGGCTTTGCCTTAGCTCAGCTATGGGCATTGTGACATCTTGGAGAGTGAATCATTGAACAGAAGATTTTGCTGTCTCTCCTCCTCTCTGTATATCTCACTTTCCAATAAAGAAAAATGAAGTTAAAACAAAACAAAACAAAATGAAGAAAGAAAGATCTTCCAACCACTGGTTCATTCCCTAAAATGGTTGCAAAGGCTGCAGCTAAGCCAATCCAATGTCAGAAGCCAGGAACTTCAACCAGGTGTCCTATGCTGGTTCAGGTTCTTAAGGACCCGGGCCATCTTCCACTGTTTTTCCTGGCCATTTGCAGGGAGCTGGATGGGAAGTGGAGCAGCTGGGACACGAACTGGTGTTCCTATCGGATGCTGGTGTTTGCAGTTAGAGGATTACACGATTGAGCCACTGCGCTGCCCCTGAGAAGCATCTTTTAAAATAAAATTTTAAAGATTTATTTATTTGCTTGACATAATAGCTCAATTGGCTAATCCTTTTGTTCCAAGCACTAGGATCCCAGGATCCCATATGCACACCCATGTTCACTTGGGGAGTGAACCAGTGGACAGAAGATCTTTCTGTCTCTCCTTCTCTCTGTAAATCTGCCTTTCAAAGAAAAATAAATAAATCTTTAAAACAAACAAACAAACAAAGCAGTGGAGTAGCGCCCATGTGGTAGATCTTTAGCTAGTTGGGCCATCACACTGGACCTAGAAAATCTTGCCTGTGGTTTCCTTTTTCTCAGGAACTCTCCTGCTTTTTATTCTTGTTGTCATGCCTACCTTCTTCCTGCTCTAAAATTGTAGACCTTTAAAACTCTGGACCCCCACTGCCCTCTGGCCAAGAACATCTGAGACTGGCTGTTCTTTTCCAAAAGAATTCTACTAAAAAGCAAAATAAGTTAATAAACAATGGGAAAAGAGAAATAAATCATAGGAAATACAAATAAGATGCAGTTCCTTATCCAAAAGTTTCTGGCCTCTCGTTTCAGATTAGTCACATTCTAGACCCTCAGGCTTCTTTTCGGGGTTCAGTATCACAAAGCTCCCAACTAGCACCAGCCTTCTTTTATTTATTTATATTTTTGTATATTTTTTGAAACAAAAACCAACTCTCTGGCTCATTTATGGTTTTGTTCCCCCACCCCCTTTTTAAAGATACATCTTTGCTTTTTTGTTTGTTTGTTTTTAAAAATGTATCTATTTGAGAGACAGAGGAGACAGGTGGAGAGGGTACGGTGGAGTGCTGTGGGCAGGAGAGTGTAGATCTTTCATCCATTGGTTTACTCTTCAAATTGCCTCAACAGTCAGGCCATAGTTAGGAGCTAAAAACTCCATCTGGGTGTCCCATGTGGCAGGGACCCAAGTACCTGGGTCTTTGCCCACAGCCTTCTCAAGCATTGGTGATGGCAGCTTAACCAGCCTGGAGCCTCATCTGTGACTTTCAGAAAGAGAGAAAGAGAAAGAGAGAAGGAGAGAGAGAGAGAGTGAAAAGGAGGGAGAGACAGAGATCTCTAGTTCATTCCTCACATGGTTACAATGGCTAGCATTGGGTTAAGCTGACCCAGAGCTTCTTCCTGACCTCTCACAAGAGTGCAGGGGCCCAAGCCATTGAGCCATCCTCTGCTGCTTTCCCAGACCATTATCAAGGAGCTGGATGAGAAGTGTAACAGCTAGGATATAAACTAGCATCCATATAGGATGCCAGTGTCACAGGTTTATTCACTGTGTCACAATGCTGGTTCCTCACCTGTGACTTTCTTACAGCAGACCTGTTCAGCTAACTGGTGTGAGTCTGAATCCCCCCTGCCCCCCCCCCGGGAGTGTCCTGGGCCTCAGACAATTCCTTCTATAAGCTTCTTAAATCATCACAACCACGTAAAGACCTGTGAGAGGGCTGCATGGCCCTGGGATTCTGGCAGGGTCTAAGTGATGCCTCTTAGTGAGAAGGAAGGCTGGAATAATACATAAATATGAAGCATGCAACCTATGTCAAACATTTTCTGTTTTTAAATCATAGCATGAGCTTTTGAGATAGATTTCTATCACTAGACATATTGGGTAGAGTCTGGGGCTTGGAGGGATTCACTATCTTCCTCAAGGTCTTATAAACAATTAAACTGGTAGCAAAATTTGAGCTGATGCTACTGATAAGGTTGTGATTATATAGCATAAGAGAGATGCTAGCTTTTCTGGTCTTTATCTGATTTTTAATTAATTTATTTATTTTTAGGGTTTACTTAGTTTTGTTTGAAAGAGTTAGAGAGAGAAGTCTTCTATATTCTGGATCATTCCCCAGATGGTCCCAGTTGCTGAAGCTGAGCCAGTCTGAAGCCAGGAGTTTCTTCTGGATCTCCCATGTGGGTGCAGGGTCCCAAAGCTTTGGGTAATCCTTCACTGCTTTATCAGGCCATCAGCAGGGAGCTGGATCGAAAATGGAGCAGCTGGGACTGGAACCAGCACCCATATGATACAGGTACTTGCAGGTGGAAGACTAACTGGTTGAGCCATGGCACTGGTCCCAAAGGATTTCTTTCAATGTAAAGCTGTTTCATTCCCTCTTGTGCAAACCTCTCTGCTATTAGATGTATAAAAGTTTCATAGACCAAGTTCTTACATTCAGCATTTCATTTGATTCTCTGGTTTTGTGTCTGACATTCACTGGCATTAATTATTTTGGATAGTGGGAAGCTGGAATATACAGGACATGGCTATAGGAACTGGAGAGGAAGAAGAAGCAAAGAACAGATTCTGGAGGAAGGGAAGAGTTCTGGTTCCTGCCACCATTTCCCAAGTTCTCCAAGGCCTTCCCCTGGGGGCTGCTGTACCAATGTGTAAGAAGTAGGTGTGGATGTGGGGAGTTCTCCTGGCCCTTTTCACCCTGTTTACTGTGGTCGGTATAGTCATCACAAACACCTGGTAAGTAGCATGAAGCTGGGGAAGTGAGACTGGCAGACAAGGAACTGGAAAAAACACAGAAATGTTTTGAAGGAGAAATTGCTCACTTATTAAAAATATAATGTGAAAATACCCTGAAGCCTGTGGGTTTTTTTTTTTTTCCTTTCAGCTTATAGTGCTCAAGTGACCTTTTCCCTTGGAGAAAGGCTTTATGGCTCCGAGCTTGCGAGTCGGAGGAAGGGGCTGAATTACCGTCTGCACAGTGCCAACAGGTCATTGTGTGAACTCCAGACGAATTATTCCAGCTATTTGCTTGCGTTGTCAGTTCCAAACCGGAAACAGTGATGTCAGATATGTCACACTATATTTTTGGTGGTATCTCCAGTAGAAGAATTATGATAAACAACAGCTATATCATGTGCATAGCACAACGTTTTGGCTTTCTTCACTGGGTCACAGGAGCAGCTAGGGCTCACAGTGTGACACATGGCATAAACCCCCGGGAATCAGGCTTTCTGGGGTTAAAAAGAAAGCGGAAGACACCTGTTATTTGTTTGGTGCTTTGTGCTCTAGTTTACAAAGCATTTTCAGATACCATCACAGGGAGCCTTACCACACCTGCTAAGTGGCGTTAGTGCCCCCATTTTATAAAAGAGGAAATAGGTCACACAGTGCAACACAGGCAAAGTTGCATATTGTTATTATTATTTCACTTTGCTTCGGCTGTCCAGATAATTTTTTTTGTTCATATTTTTTTTTTCCACTGCAGTACTTTGTGATAAGGGACCAGTACACAAACACAACTTTCTTTCTTTTCTGGAGATCCTTCCTCCTATGCTGAGTAGATCTCACAGTCAGCAGCCATTCAGCTATACACATCAGCAGACACTCCCAGCAACCCCCGTGAGGACAGCAATTTCCAAGTGTAGTAGATTGACTTTTTACAAGAAAATTATTTATGTTCATTTGGGGGATGGCCAGCTAAGATTCAACTTCGCCGGTTGGAGTAGACAAGTTGTCTAGAGAATTAGCCTGCTAAAATAACGATTTAAAAGCTTTAGGCATGTAACTAGTTAACTGCCTAGCAAGAGCAAGCTGGGCTTACAGGATCTCCTCCTGGGGTGCTACGGGGGTGGTGAACTGTAGGGCTGTGTTCCCCTTTACACAAAGGGCGCCTCCAAGTTTCTCCTCCACTCCCACCCCCAACCCCATAGGACTCGCAGTGTATAAGCCGACTACAGGTAGGGTCTAAGGGTGCCCGGAAGTGGGCTCTGTTCACCCTAGTATGGGGTGAGCCATAACAGGCTTGCCAATGGAGTTAGGGTGCACTTGGAAGGAAGCCGGTTTTTCTAATTCTGGCCCAACCGGGCCTCAGACTGGAAGCGCCAGGGGGTCGGCTGGGTTCCAGGCCCGCGCCGCCCGGCGCCTGCTGCAATAACCTCACCTCGAGGAAGGAGTCCTTGCCGCCTGCTCTTATTTGCGTCCAAGGCTTTACACCGGGACTGGCACTGGTGCCGCCGTGCTTGAGGTCACCCAAACTGGGGCTCCCCCGGGACACAAACCGGGAAGGAGAACCTGTCTCGCGTTGGGCAGGTGACTGGATACTCGGGGTGGGGCAGGACGCGCTCCGCAGAGGCTCAGCCTCGGTTCCCACACCAATCACCACGGGCCCCAGGCCCGCATCTTGCTAGTGCAGGTTTCAGCGTCGGCCAGAACTCGGGCCCTGGGGTCCTCCACTTCCCAGGCCCCTCAACGTCCCTCGTCGTCCCCACAGGGCCCGCAGCCAGCAGCGTTGGGGCCTCCCCCGGCGCGGCCCACACGGCGTCGCTCGCCCGGCGCTGGGGGCGGACGCCAGCCCCCAGCCCTCGGCGTCCCCTCCCCTTCACTTCCCCCTCCCCTGTCCTCTCCCTTCCCCTCCCCCGCCCCCCCCCCCGCGGCGAGGCGGCGAGGAGGAGGACGAGGAGGAGGCGGCGGCGGCGGTCGAGGCTGAGGCTGAGGCGGCGGCGGCGGCGGCGGCGGCAGCGGGCGGGGCTCGGCTTGGGCTCCGCGGGCGGGCGGGCGGATATGGCGGCCAACATGTACCGGGTCGGAGGTAGGAAGGCTCGGCCCGACCCGGCCCGTCTGGGAGCGGGCTGTGGGAAGTGGGGGGTCGCGGCGAGCGCAAGCTAACTGCTGGGAATCCCTGGCGCCCGGGCTGAGGTCGCAGGGGTGGGGGGCACCGGGGCCCTCAGAGGGGCCGGGCTCCCTACCCCACCCCTCCCCCCACGGTGGCCCGCAAGGGGCCCGGGCCCACCAGCACCCCCCACTCCCTGTCTAGGTTTTTCGAAATAGGCCTATATTTGGGGGCATGAATTAACCAGGCGCCCCACTCCATGAGACCTCCGTGGGGGACGCATCCGTCGAACCCCTTAAGTGGGTGGGTGGCCTTTTCCTCGCGTGTCTTCTGGGTACTGGAGGCCGGGGAGGACGGGAAGGGGGGACATCGTCCTCCCCCACTCTCCCTCGGTGGGGTCGAGGGGGCCCAGTGAGGGGCACAGTTGGACAGGCCTGTTGGCGGAGCCGGGCCCCTTGCACGTTTCTTTCCTCTTGGCGTTTCTTGTCCAGCACCCCAAGAGTGGGGCCGAGCAGGGTCAGGGAACCGCAGGCAGAGGTGGGGGAGTCGAGTTCTGCCCAGACGTTTTGCTCTGGTCTGGTTGTCTCTTTGCCAGCCTTCTGCAGAAGAGAGAAATAAGGTCAAACAAACTTTCTCCCTACTCACGACGCCCTCCTCCCTCTTTCCTGGTAAAATAATAATTCAGATAAGTGGCGTATTTGTGTGTGAGACGCTCTGCTTTCTCCGCTCATTAGCCGAGCTCCTGATGGATGGTGGTGGGAATGGCCTGGCTGAATGAGGCCACTTTGCTGAAGAGAGCAGGGAGGCCTCCCGAGATAGACAATAACAGTGCAGTGCAGCCTCGCATTTAGACACACAGTGGGAACTTTTCAGGGAGTCTGCTAGATGAGAGGAGAAGCCACACTCGAACATTTTTCTCTTTTTTGTTGAAAGCCTGCAGCTTCCTTTAGAGCAAGAGCTCACATGGATCTGAACTAAATATGGTAAAGGGCTGGGGTAGATGGCCCTGTCATCCCCCTCCAGAGGACTCTGTGGATGAGAAAGTGACCCCATTTGCTCCCCTTTTCCGTAGTCTTGTGCAGGCTGTTTTGGTGAAGTTTGTCATCGTGTTTTTTCTTACCTGTCCTGTTCACCTGATTTTTTTTTTAAGTTAGTGGTGATTGAAATGTAGGTTGGGCTATTCAGCCTTTCTCTGTGCTCTGAGTTTGTCTTGGGTCAACAGGTCTATGTTGAGAAGTGTACTCCTGGGCAAATTGAATTGGAGGGGAAAGATGTGGGAGCAGGTAAGATACAGGAAACACATGTTTTGCCAGCCCTGATGGTCCAGTGGATCAGAAACTTGTTTATTAAACAGATGACATGTGTGGGACAAAAGTCTAGGAGACCTTGATTAAGTGTTCATTGAAATGAAGATGTCAAGAAAATCAAGATCTGGGAATATAGTGGGCACAGGAGTGAATATATTAAAGTTGCATTATTAAGTTTGCTTTAACCAGTGGATGAATTGCATGCTTAATTTTGAATGTGAATTGCCTAATAAAGTCTTGGGTTGACAAATGTGACTTTTCTGTTGAAAAGATTAAGTGCTGTTACTTGCTTTAATTACAGATTATGTCTACTTTGAGAATTCCTCCAGCAATCCCTATCTAATCAGAAGGATAGAAGAACTCAACAAGGTATGAGTATTGCTTAGTCTCATATTAAGAACTATTTGTTTTCCACTGAAGGATATTAGGGAAGGGACGGAAGAGGCGATTTTGTTTTCAGGCTCAGGGTCTGAGAGTAAGAGATTGTAGAGTGGAGAATTCTGAAGGATTTGAGATTTAAAAATTTTTTTTAAAGTGACTTTTTTTTTTCTTTTGATACCAGATGTTGTTATTGGCTATGTGCAAGTCTGTATGTTTCTTCAGTTGCTGATAGCCTCTCTAAGCGGGTCACTGTGTGACCTGGTCTCTTATTTTTACAGTCATCAAAGTGTTTCTCTCGTTAGTGAGTTAGTATTTCTCTTTCAGCTTTAGAAGGAAGAAGTTGGAACGTACAATGCTGAAAGAACTTGGCAAACTTCTGGAACTAGGCTAACTCATAAGAATATAATTTGACATGATAATATACAATGATTTTGTACCTTTGGCCCAAGTGAAATAAAACTTGTCAGTGAAGGTGTGTCCCTGACTCAGGTGTGGTCGCTGACAGAAGCATAGTGACTGGCCGTGGGTGAGCTTTCACAATGGAGGCCAGGGAAGCAGTCATGGGTGTTGCTTTCCTGATGCTGTGTGATATCCTCTGGACCATTTTGAGTGCTCTTGGCGTGGCTTCTGAGAATTTGTGGTGTTAATCATTGGGCTTCGTGGCTAGTACCTCTCCCCTCAGATGTCACCTGAAGACTGGTCTAGGTCTAAGTCCTAACAAAATAGGCTTGGAACTTGTCAGTACTCACTTATAGAGCCGCCTTGAGATCTTGATTGCTTTTGGAATATCCCGGAACTTTATACTAAAAAAAAGTCTTGCCGTATTTGAGACTATGAAGAGCAGGGTCTTGGGCTGGGATCAGCCATGTTGCAGTGTAATTGTTATCTGCTTTTTTTTTTTTTAATTTAAAAAATGATTATTTGAAAGGCAGAGTGAAAGTGATACTGAGAAAGAAAGATGTCTTCTCTCTGCTGATTCACTCCCTAAATGGCTGCAGCAGCCAGGGCTAGCCCAGGAGGAAGCCAGCCAGGGGCCAGGAACCTCAGATGGGTGTCTGGGCGCCGCTTTACCAGCCAGGAGCTGAATCCAAAGCAGGGCAGGTGGCACTCTGCTATGAATGCTGATCTTGCTGGGCCTTAACCTGCTGCACCACATAACGCCCTCTAGATCTGTTTTGTTTTTAAACGATGCTGACCTAATATATAAAAAAATTAAGACTGAGGGTGGACATTTAACTTAGCAGTTCAGATGCTTTTGTTTTGTATTCGAGTGCTTAGGTCTAATGCCTGGCTAAGATTCTTGACTTCATATTTTTGCTGATGTGTATGCTGAGAAGAATTAGTAGTTGTGTTCCTGCCACCATGGGGGAGGCCTGGGTTGAGTTTTGAGCTGCTGCTTTCGGCCTGGTCTAGCCCTAGCTGTTGTAGGTCTTTGGGGTGTCAATCAGTGGGATGGAGCTAGGTTCTCTGCCTTTCAAGAAAAAAAAAAACAGGTGTGTGTGTGTATGAGGTGAATCTTTGGATTCCCAGCCCTTCCACTTGTATACCAGCTCTGTGCTAATGTGCTCGGGAAAGCAACACAAAAAGGCCTAAGGCTATTTTGAACTGTCCACCATATCTATTTAGAAAGTTAATTAGGATTCAGAAATGTTGACCTAGTATTGCACTATTGCTGTGTGTCCCCTCTTCTGGTGTTGCTGAGAGCAGGCGGATGGTTTCTGCTCTGTCTTTTGGCTCAGGCACAGTAGTTACTACGTTCCTGCTCCTGAACCCACCTTCAGAGGCTTCCCCCCCCTTTTCTTTTCTATTTCTTTCTTAAATATTTATTTACTTATTTATTAAAGATGTATTTATTTTATTGGAAAGGCAGATGTACAGAGAGGAGGAGAGACAGAGAGGAAGATCTGTCTGATGATTCACTCCCCAAGTGACCACAACGGCCAGTGCTGCGCCAATTCAAAGCCAGGAGCTCTTTCAGGTCTTCCCATGCGGGTGCAGGGTCCCAAGGTTTTGGGCTGTCCTGAGTGCTTTGCCAGGCCACAAGCAGGAAGCTGGATGGGAATTGGGCTGGCAGAATTAGAACTGGCACCCTTATGGGATCCCAGCATGTTCAAGGCGAGAACCTTAACCATTACGCTATCAAGCCAGGCCCAATATTTATTTATTTTTATTGCAAAGTCAGATATACAGAGAGGAGGAGAGAGAGAGAGGAAGATGCTCTGTCTAATGATTCACTCCCCAAGTGAGCGCAACGGCTGATGCTATGCCAATCTGAAGCCAGGAACTTCTTCTGGGTCTCCCATGCAGGTGCAGGGTCCCTAGGCTTTGGGCCGTCCTCGACTGCCTTCCCAGGCTACAAGCAGGGAGCTGGACAGGAAGTGGAACCACCGCGACTAGAACTGGCGCCCATATGGTATCCTGGCGCATTCAAGGCGAGGACCTTAGCTGCCAGGCCACTGTGATGGACCCCAGAGGCCCCCTTTTTATAATCAAACTATCATGCTCTCAACATTGCTTTTTTTCCTTCATGACCTTCAAAAATTGATTACTGTGTTTGTTTTCCCTCCATCCCCCCCCCTTTTTTTAACATTTATTAATTTATTTTGAAAGAGAAACAAATCTTGCATGTATTGATTCATTCCCTAGATGGTTACAAGCACCAGAGCTGGCTCAAACCAGGAACCAAGAGCTTCTGGATTTCCCATGTGGGTTGCTGGAACCCAAATACTTGGCCTGTTTTTTCACAGGCCTTTAATAGGGTGCTGAATTGGAAGCTGAACAGTTGAGGACCCTGCACCCATGTGGGAGACTGGGAAAAAGCTCCTGTCTTTGGATCAGCTCAGCTCCAGTTGTTGCAGCCCCTTGGGGAGTGAACCAGTGGCTAGAAGATCTTTCTCTCTGTCTTTGTAAAATCTGACTTTCCAATAATAAATAAATAAATTTTAAAAAGATTTATTTATTTTTATTGCACAGTCAGATGTACAGAGAGGAGGAGAGACAGAGAGGAAGATCTTCCATCTGATGGTTCACTCCCCAAGCGGCTATAACAGCTGGAGCTGAGCCTATCTGAAGCTAGGAGCCTGGAGCTCTTCCAGGTCTCCCACGCGGGTGCAGGGTCCCAAAGCTTTGGGCCGTCCTTGACTGCTTTCCCAGGCCACAAGCAGGGAGCTGGATGGGAAGTGGAGCTGCTGGGATTAGAACCGGCACCTCCATATGGTATCCTGGTGTGTGCAAGGCGAGGATTTTAGCCTCTAGGCCACATCGCCGGGCCCTAAATAATTTTTTTGTTTTTTAAAGAAAGAAACAAGGGCCTTGGTATGGAGAACAGAGGTGGAGCCAGTGTTGTGGCTCTGCACAGCAAGTTACTGCCTGTGTCTCAGCTACTCCACTTCCAATCCATCTTCCTGCTGGTGGCTTTGGAAAGGCAACAGAACAGAGCTGGAGTTCTTGGGCTCGTACCACAATGTGAGAGGCCTGGATGGGCTCCTGTCTTCCACCTGCACCAGGCCCAGCTGTTGCAGTCATTTGGCAGGTAAACCATCTGATGGAAGATCTTATTTCAAATAAAGAAGTAAATCTTTCTTATTAAGCAAAAGGAAATGACAGAGTTGTTTTTCCTCAAGGATGTGAAAAGAAATGGGGAAAAGAGCCCATGTGAGTTTTCTGGATAAAAGCTTTGAGAAAATTGACCAGGTAGTGGAAGCTAATCTGCTTCCTATCCAGTTTTCTACTAATGTACTGGGGGAGGCAATGCCACGCATGGCCCAAGTACGTAGGCCCCTCCTACCTATGTGAGAGACCAGGTTGTTGTTCTTGGGTTCTGGCTTCAGTCTGCCCCAGCCCTGGCTGTTCCAGCCATTTGTGGAGTGAACCAATGACTGGAAGATCTCTTCTCTTTTTCTGTGCCTTTCAAACAAATAAGTAAACCTGATAAAAAAAAATGTGGCATACTCTCACTGATACACCAAGGGAAGAAGGGATGTTGTCCTATTTTATTATTAGATGTAGTATGTGTGTATGTATTTTATAGAGGGCAAAATATAGTTGTAAAGTATCCATTATGTAACCATGTGCATGGAAAAGAGAAGAAAATAGAATATTTATTTTTAATTGTATCACCATTTCCAAGGCAGCATTGAAGAAATAATTAGGGGCGTAGTGGGTTGAGTTGTTGCTTGGGATGCCCACGTTCCCAGTTGGAAGGAAGCCTCGCTCATTTTGCTTCAGATCCATCTTTCTGCTAATAAATCCTGGGTGGCAATGGATGATGGCTCAAGTACTTGTAATCTAGTGGGAGGAATAGGTGGAGTTCCAGGGTCCTGGCTTCAGCCTGGCCCAGCCCCGGGGAATGTTACCAGTGGATGAAAGATGCTCAGTCTGTCTGCTTTGCTTTTGAAGTACATGGAAATAAATCGATAAACATTTTAAAAAAATATTTATTTCATTTTTATTGAAAGGCAAATTTATAGAGAGGAGATACAGACAGAAATCGGTGGCGCAAGTGGTTAAAGGTCCTTGCCTTGCACGCCCGGGATCCCATGTGGGTGCCGGTTCTAATCCCGGCAGCCCCGCTTCCCTTCCAGCTCCCTGCCTGTGGCCTGGGAAAGCAGTCGAGGACGGCCCAAAGCTTTGGGAACCTGCACCCGTGTGGGAGACCCGGAAGAGGCTCCTGGCTTCGGATCGGCATAGTATCGACCCGTTGCGCTCATTTGGGGAGTGAATCATCGGATGGAAGATCTTCCTCTCTGTCTCTCCTCTCTGTATATCTGCCTTTCCAATGAAAAAATAATAAAAATAAATCTTTAAAAAAGATTTATTTATTTTTGGGCCTGGCAGTGTGGCCTAACAGCTAAAGTCCTCGCCTTGAATGCGCTGGGATCCCATATGGGTGCTGGTTATAACCCCGGCAGCTCCACTTCCCATCCAGCTCCCTGCTTGTGGCCTGGGAAAGTGGTTGAGGACATCCCAATGCTTTGAGATCCTGCACCCGTGTGGGAGACCTGGAGGAGGTTCTTGGCTGTTGCGGTCACTTGGGGAGTGAATCATTGGATGGAAAATCTTCCTCTCTGTCTCTCCTCCTCTCTGTATATCTGACTTTGTAATAAAAATAAATAATTAAAAAATATGTTTATTTATTTTTATTGGAGAGGAGCGACAGACACAAAGATCTTCCGTCCGATGGTTAATTCCTCAAGTGATTGCAGCTGCTGGAGTTGTGCTGATCCAAAGCCAGGAGCCAGGAACCTCTTTTGGGTCTCCCATGCAGGGGTTCAGGGCCACAAAGCTTTGGGCCGTCTTCATCTGCTTTCCTAGGCCACAAGCAGGGAGCTGGATGGAAAGTGGAGCTGCTGGTATTATAACCGGTGCCCATGTGGGATCCTGGCCTATGCAAGGCAAGCCACTAGGCTACTGTGCCTGCCCCAAAAGGTCTTCAGTGTGCTGATTCATTCCCCAAGTGACCACAGTGGCTGGAACTGAACTGATCCAAAGCCAGGAACCAGGAGCTTCTTCTGGGTCTTTTGAGCAGGTGCTGTGTCCCAAAGTTTTGTCTGCTTTCCCAGGCCACCAGTAGGGAGCTGGATGGAAAGTGGAGCAGCCAGGACACGAGATAGTGTCCATATGGGATCCTGGTGCATACAAGGTTATTATTTTATTTTATTTTTTTGATGATCAATAGCTGAAATTTGTTAGGGGCAACAGACTTTATACACTTAGGGTCATATAGGATAAGGGTGGAGGTATTGAGCGAATGAACAAATCCATCAACTGTTTCTATGCTTTTGTTTGGAGGTCCTTTTTTCTTGTATATTCCATCAAGCGTTCTCATACACATACTTTCCACTCAACTGTTCTTGTACAAATGATATCCCATCAGGTATATAAAAGGTAGTCATTCGGTTGTTTTCATGCAAAGGATATCCATTCAGTCACACAAAGGCATACAAGGTTATTGAGCATGGCCCAAATAAGCATTTTAAAAAATATATAATTAGCTTTGTAGAGCATCAGTGTTAGAGAAATTCCACCAGTTTTACCATGAAATGCTTTGAGGGCCATGTGAGGTAGCCTAGTGACTAGAGTCCTTGACTTGCACAAAAAAAAAGAAATGCTTTGAAACCTTTGCTTTGGATTTGTTTGGTTATTTTATCTGATAAAGATGACAATGACAAGAGGTGTACAGTGGAAGTTATTAATAGATTTTATTTACATGCAACTATTGGCCCTGCTCATTTAGCAAATTGCTGGATCATTACCTTGGGATGATGTTTTTTTATCATAATGTTGTAAAATATAGAAGCATTTTGGCTACAAATATAACATGATTTCAGTTTTAAAGGGTAGTGTTTCTGCAGGACTATTTCTCACTCTAAAATACTGCTGTTGAACTTCATAAAATTGACAAATTTGTTACAGCACATAGATTCATTTATTTCTGTTTGAATATACTTATAAACCCAGAGATTCTGAAGACTTGTTCTTAAATTTGTTGGAAAAATGAAAGCTTGGTAGTATTTTATTGTGATCTATGTGTTTTTATAGGAAATTTTGTAATGAATGACCATCTTGAAAGCTCTCAGAATTCATAGAATAGAGCCTGAGTCCCAGCTGCAATAAATTATAACCTAAATGAATATTGATTGTATTCTAGGCTGTAGTCAAAAAGAAATAAGGGCGTCAGCATTCATAAATCCCGGGTTTTTAGTACTTTGATGTTTGAGGGTGAAGTTAACCCTTTTGAGGGCCCTAGTGTAGACTTCCCCGGGCTGAGGATGCCTTTCCGGCCACCTACACCGTGTGTTCAGCCTGGGAGTTTAGGGGAGACTGGGCGAGTTCATACTTGGCCCATGCTTTTTAGGAATGGGTTTGTAGAAGATAAGTTTAAATGTCTTGTATAATGTGTACTTTAAAAAATTGTTAGGATTAGCTTCTTAAAGATTTTTCTAAGTTTACTTTTGGTTTTGAACAGATCTAACCGCTTTAGTTTAATTGATACCAGTGAGTTATTTTATGTTTAACATTCTAATTATATTTTGAACCTGAACAAATGCTGCTTATCCTTGTTTGTGTTTTTTAGTTTTCTGGTTATTGTGTAGTGGTTTGCATGGTGTGTTTTACCTGGTCATTCTAATGTTTTTAAAAATTTTTTTCATTTCTTAGACTGCAAGTGGCAATGTGGAAGCAAAAGTAGTGTGCTTTTATAGACGACGAGATATTTCCAACACGCTTATAATGCTTGCGGATAAGCATGCTAGTAAGTTTTCTTTTTTCTTGGATTAAAATAATGTTTGAGTTGTGCTTTTAATATGGTGCAAAAATGGATTTAAAAATTATCAATAACATTTTATTAATTTTTACTTATTTGAAAAGCAAAGAGAGATAGAGATCTTTCATTTAATGGTTTACCCTACCCCTAACAAATACTGGATTAGGCTGGATTAGGCTGAAGCCAGAACCTTGAAACTAAGTCCTGGTCTCCTGGGATGGTGGCAAGGACCTATATTATCTTTCACCTGCTGCCTCTTAAAATGCTCATTAGCAGGAAGCTGGAGTGGAGAGTGGACCCACGACTCTAACCCAACATTCTAAAATGGGATGCACATGTCCTAGTTAATGTGTTAACTACTGGACCAAATGCTTGCCCATGGAAAACATTTTTTGGTTCTGGAAAGCTTATGATTTCTTTTCCATGTACTTTAGATGAGTGTAATTTTTAAAAAAGATTTATTTTACTTTTTTTTATTACAAAGTCAGATATACAGAAAGGAGGAGAGATAGAGAGGAAGATCTTTCATCCGATGATTCACTCCCAAGTGAGCGCGACAGATGGTGCTGTGCCGATCCAAAGCCAGGATCCAGGAACCTCCTCCAGTTCTCCCACACGGGTGCAGGGTCCCAAAGCATTGGACCATCCTCTGCTGCTTACCCAGGACACAAGCAGGGAGCTGGATGGGAAGTGGAGCTGCCGGGATTAGAATTGGCGTCCATATGGGATCCTGGCGTGTTCAAGGCAAGGACCTTAGCCACTAGGCCACTCCGCTGGGCCCAAGATGGGTGTAATTTTTAAAGGGTTTATTTTATTTTTATTGGAACATCAGTTCTACAGAGAGAAAGAGAGAGGAAGATCTTCCATTTACTGATTCACTCCCCAGGTTGCTGCAACAGTCAGAACTGAGCTGATTCAGAGCAGGAGCCTGGAGCCTCTTCTATATCTCTCACACAGGTGCAGGGTCCCAAGGCTTTGGGCCATCTTCTACTGCTTTCCCAGGCCACAAGCAGGGAGCTGGATGGGAAGTGGAGCAACTGGGACATGAACCAGTGCCCATATGGGATCCTAGTGCATGTAGGGCGAGGACTTTTGTCAGTAAGCTATCATGCTGGACTCTGATGAGTGTAATTTGTTGGGAGGTGTTTGTGTTTCACATACATATAGTTAGATGTATGGTAAGTATTTTACTTACTTATTTAAGTTGGCGAGACAGAGAACTGCCATCCCTTTCGTTCCCCAGATGCCCACAATGGCTAGGGCTTGGTCAAACTGAGTACAGTTGTTCTGCATGCATGGCAGGAACCCCACTGCTGGAACCATCCTTGATGTCTCCCAGGAGCTGTGTATGTTGAAGCGGGATTCAGGAGCTGGCGTTCGGAGGTGAACCCTAATCCTGCAGGGTGATACACAGGCATCTTTACTGGTCAACTAGAACTGTAATAGTATTGTCATTGTCTTGAGGATTTTGAAGTTTTCCTAGGGTTTTGGAAATGGAGTAAAGGAAGTGCTTGCTTGCCAAAGTTCTTCTTAAGAGTCATTTCCCCAGTGAGGAACCAAGTGTATCACTTATCTCATAAATTAAATTCCTACTAGGGTGGGGGGAGGAGGGTCTGGTGATGTGGCATAGTGGATTAAGTCTTTGCTTTCAGTGGAACTAGCATTTCATATGAGTACTGATTCAAGCCTTGGCTCTTCTACTTCTGATCCAGCTCCTAGCCAATAGCCTGGGAAAAGTAGCAGAAGATGACTCAAGTGCTTGGGCACCTGCACCTGTGTGGGAGCCCTGGCTAAATCTCCTGACTCTTGGCTTCTGCTTGGCTTAGCCCTGGCTGTGTGGCTGCCTGGGGGATGAACCAAAAAATTCAAGATCTCTCCTTCTCTCTTTGTGTGTATAACCCTGCCTTTTAAATAGATACATCTTTAAGATAAATAATTTTCTACTGTATTTTAAAAGACAATTCATTGTATTTATTGATTTCTATTTTGAATGTAAAATATTCATTGTGATATGACTTGTCCTGTAATATTGCAAGTTATGTACTGAAGAATTCAAGGAATTTGGTATTTACCATTCACATGAGACCAAAATAATGCTCTTTCAAATGATGATAACGAGCTGTTTTAGTCAGAGTCTATAAACTTAATGTGTTGTGACCAGTGTTATGGTGCAAAAGGGTAAATCGAATTCGGGTACCCATGTGTCATCCTGATTTGAGTCTGTTACTCTGCTTTGCTCCAGCTTCCTGATAATGTGCCTGGGGAGGCTCCAGATGATGGCTCAAGTACTGAAATCTCTAGCATCCCTATCGAAGGCTTGGATGAGATTCTTGGTTCTTAGCTTTGTCCCAGCTCAGATCTGGCTATTTTACTTTATTATTTTTGAAAGATTAGTTTGTTAGAACTAGCATTGTGCTGTTGCAGGTAGAACCACTAGCTGCAGTGCCGGCAACCCACATGGGTGCCAGTTCGTGTTCTGGTTGCTCCAGTTTTGTTCTAGCTTCCTGCTAATGTGTCTAAAATGGAGGATGGCCCAAGTGTTTGGTGTCCTGCATCCATGTAGGAGAACTTCAGGCCAGCCCAGCTCTGGCCGCTGTGACCATCTGTGGAGTGAACTAGTGATTAGGTGATCTCTCTCTTTTTAAGTCTCTTGCCTTTGAAATAAATATTTTTTTTTTAAATTCCATTATTTATTTATTTGAAAGACAGAGGAACAGAAAGAGAAAGGGAGAGATAGGCAGCCTGAGAGCTTCCATCTACTGGTTCATTCCTCAAATGGCCATAACAGGCTAGGTTGGACCAGGCAAAGCATGAGCCTGAAGTTCTTTCAGTCTCCTGTGTGACTAGTATGATTCCAGCTCTTGGGCCATCTTCTGCTGCTTTCCTAAATAGATTATTAGCAGGGAGCCATACTGGAAATGGAGCAGCCAGGACTCTGGTGTAAGGTGCCAGTGTCACAAGTAGTGGCTTAACTGGCTGCCAAAATGCCAGTCCCAAAAGTGTTCTTTGTGGATGTAGTTACTCAGGCTAGGATCAAATTCAAGCTTCCACATTGCATTCATTGTCAAGTCTCTTTTGTGGAACAGTTCCTAAGTCTGTGTTTTTGACCTTGACATTTTGAAGAGAACAGGCCAGTTTTTTTTGTTTTTTGTTTTTTTTCTTTTTGGTAGCTTATGTCTCTGTTTTTATCAAGTATTTCCCTGTGATTGGATTTAGATGATGTGCATATTTTGGACAGATACCATGGAAGTGATGTTACCTTTTCTTCAATGATTGTATTAGGGATAAATACCTGAACTTGTCTAATGTTGGTGATGTTAGTTCTGATACCTTAGTAAACCTGGAGTCCCCTTGTATTCATTAAGTAATTTTGAGGATATCCTTGTCAACTCTGTAACTATATTGTTCTTAATCAAATAATAAAAAAAGTCCATTTATTTATTTGAATGGCAGGGAAAGAGGAAGGGAGACAGGGAAGGAGGAAGGTAGAAAAGGAGACAGAGAGACAGAGAGAATATGAGATCTGTCTTCTGGTTTACTTTCCAAATGTCCATAGTATTTGGGGCAGGGCAGGGCAACAGCCAGGAACCAGGAACTTCAGCTGGGTCTCCCACAGGGGTGTCAGGGACCTAACTACACAGGTTATCATCTGCCACCTCCAGGGTATGCATTAACAGGAAGCTGAGCCAGCACTGAGCCCAGGCACTCTTTTCTAGATGCATTATCAGGGAGCTGGAGCCAAAGTGGAGGAGCTGGGCCTAGAAGTGGTACTCATTTGGGGAGCTGGCGTTGCAGAATTGCAGGTGACAGCTTAACCCACTGTGTCACAATGCCTGTCCATCAAACTATGTGCCCCCTAACAATAAGATTTATTGATTAATTTGAAAGGTTGGGTTACTGAGCCAGGGAAGAAGAGAGAGAGAGAGAGAGAAAGAGAGAGAGAGAGAGATTCCTTTGTTGATTCACTTTCCAAAAGATTGTAGTGCTAGGTCTGGACCCAACCAGGAGCTTGGTACTCTATCCTGATCTGCCACATGGGTGGCAGAGGCTCATGTACTTGGACTACTGTTTTCCCAGGCTATTGGTGGGGAATTGGTTGGGAAGTGGAGCAGCCAGGATATGAACTGGTACCCATATAGGATCCCAGTACTTGTAAGGTGAGAATTTAGCCATTGAGTTATTGCACCAGACCCAGAAGATGTATTTCTACCTATGCACTGTTGTGGAATAAGAGCTGGCTATGGGAGAGAAAGGTACTGATTGTGTCCAGTTCAGTCTTATTCATATAGTTTATCGGTTTACTGATGATTCCCTGTGTGTCAGTGTTTTAGCTAGTATCAGAAAGTACTATTAATAATATTTTTCTTTTTGAAGATTTATTTATTAGGGTTAATATTATATAACAGGTTAAGCCACCACTTATAATGCTGGCATAACATTGGACACCAGTTGGAGTCCTGGCTGTTCTGCTATTTTTTTTTTAACTTAAAAAAGTTTGAAAGACAGAGGTTCAGAGGGTAGGAGAAACAGAATCTTCCATCCTTTGTTTCCCTTCCAAATGGCCACGACAGCCAGGACTGGGTCAGGCTGAAGCTAGGAGCTCAGAGCTGCTTCCCAGACTCCCATGTGGATTCAGGGTTTCTAGCACCTTGGGCTATCTTCTGGTGTTTTCTCAGGAACATTAGCAGGGAAGTGAGTTGAAAGTGTGGCAGCGAGCAACACCTGTGCGCCTCATGTGGACCAGATCAGGGAAGAGCCAGGATGGGCAGACTTTGTACTAGTGCTAACAAAACTAGAGGGGGTGAGAGCTGTCAGCGATTAACCATAGCAGAAGCTGGCACTAGGGGCTAATACTGTCAAGTCCAACCACAGGGTCTCCTGGAGAGTGCATAATCTGGGAGTGAGAGTGACCTGGAAGGGAAATAGTGGGCTCCTCCCTCTTGGGTTACCACTCCCATGGGAGGGCACAAAATAACTAGGACAGGGGC